GCTCTGAACAACTTGTTATAATGACGCAATGAAAAGGTAATCACAGCAAAAGAAAATGACACTATACGGGAGACGAGTAATTATGTATATGTATATATTTTTTATATTAGGTACTAAATATTAACATAGTCTATTTTTGTTTGATCTTTTGTTTATAAGTTACGTGATGGACGCTGTTGTTATTGTTGGGGTGCCAAAGAAACGATGAGTCAGGGAGAGTCTTGATGGTAGGGTTGCGTGTTGCTGGAATGTAACACAATAACTAGGGGTTAATTTCGCTTTACTGAGAGTGAGGACCTCCCGGCCTTGACCTCTTACGTTTATATTTTCATCTTTACACAGGTAATCTAGATGAATGGAAAGAAAATGTTCTAAATCGCCTTAGCATCGTTGATAAACAGTCGGAGGAACTGTTTTATGAGTGAGGTAGTTCTGCCACTAGGGAGACTCACGTTGTCCAGGGGATCTAGCCTGGTATACGTAACTATCGTTGTATATGGTTTCGAAATTGCTCTGGGACTATACCGTAATTAGACTGGAATATCGTGTGTGTGTAGAGGCCGAGAGCATCTGGCGTGTAGCGGGAGGTATAGGGGTCTTCCCGTAGCCGCTCAGCATCTGGCGGCGAGGAGCGAAGAGAAGGAGGGAGGAGAAGATCGGGGGCGGGGGAGAGAGGGGGGTGTGATGGAGGAAAGGTAAGGAAGGGATGGAGGGAAGGACGGTAGGGAGGGACTAGGGGGAAGGAAGAGAAGGGGGAGGGGCGGCTGGGAGAACGCGGTCTCAACCATAGCTGTTCCCTAACACGTGAAAATGACAATGTTTGTAAAGCTAAGTGAGCTCCGAGCCTCACATGCCGCGCCTCGCTTCCACAGACCTTCGTTCACTCCCAGAATTCTCAAACTGTAATTTACCAACTGCCTACCACTTAACACACACACACACCGACACACATACAATTCACCACACGCGACACGCTTTAATTCCAATCGACCATATGAGGGCAGGAATTTGTTCAGGAGTTTGTTTATTGTGGAAATGAATGAATACAGACGGTGTGTGGTGAAAGAGGGTGCTGGCGGCGGCGGGGAAGTTGGCAGCGTTTCCGTGAAGTGAGGTGAAGGGCCGCCTCCGCTGACAACTTTATCTCTCTCTAACAGATCGCCACGACTCACCCAGCCCGCCAGCCACTCAGCCACCTAGCCCCTCAGCCACCCAGCCCGCCAGCCACTCAGCCACCCAGCCGCCAGCCACCAGCCACCTAGCCCCTCAGCCACCAAGCCCGCCAGCCACCCCAGCCCCTCAGCCACCCAGCCCGCCAGCCACCAGCCACCCAGCCCGCCAGCCACCAGCCACCTAGCCCCTCAGCCACCCAGCCCGCCAGACACTCAGCCACCTAGCCCCTCAGCCACCCAGCCCGCCAGCCACTCAGCCACCCAGCCCGCCAGCCACTCAGCCACCCAGCCCGCCAGCCACTCAGCCACCTAGCCCCTCAGCCACCCAGCACTCAGCCACCCAGGACCCATTCAGCCACCCAGCAACCCAGCCATCCGCTCAGCCTATCAGCCAGCCAGTCACTAAACCACTCAGGCAGCCAATCATTCGCTTAGCCAATCAGACACCTAGCCACTCAGTCAGCCAGCAACTCAGCCAGTCAAGTAGCCAATCAATCAGCCAATCTGCCAACCAATCACCCAGCCACTCAGCTACCCAGCCATAACACCTAGCCACTCAGCCACTTAGTCAGTTAGTGAACCAGAGAGCTAGTTCCTCAGCTAGTAAGTCAGTGATGTAGTCGTGGCCAGAATTAGGCTAGGATACAGACACATCTGGCAAGTTAGTAACGCTGTACCCATACCGGAACACTCAGCATGTAAACTTTGTGATAAACCTTTAATGCATACACTTGAACACTATATTATTGAATGTGACACTGTCAAAGACTTCAGACCACCTGACTTATTGTATCATGAACTTTGTAATTACTACATTGAATCAGGTGTGCTTGAGGACATTCTTGCTGTTTATCCCAAATTTGCTGCTGGCCCACACTGATTAGTCCTCAAATAGAATATGACTTCTAATGTAAATGAACCTCTGTTCTGCTTTGCAGTGAACAGTGACATAACCCACATGAATCTGAATCTGACATATATATATATATATATATATATATATATATATATATATATATATATATATATATATATATATATATATATATATATATATATAGCTGTTAATGAATAGGACCTATTTCTTTGTGTATGAACCTCTGTCCTGCGTGGCATTGAGAACTTATAGCACCCTTGGTGTCAAGACCTGACTGAATTACTCACCATAGGCAAACTGTACTCTAATCTTTGCCAATAAAATTTTTAACCGTAATCACCGACGCACTGTGAAATTGCTGCTCCCATTACTGAGTATGTCCCCTCCAAATTCACTGTAGACCAGGGAGGACCCACCCCTTGCTACTAATAGACACTACTACTACTACTGCTACTACTACTACTACTTTTTTTCTTTAAATTTGGCTTCCAGCCTCCCCCAATAGCCATACCTTCGCCACCATTTTATAATCTTAATATTAAATATCCTGAAACATAAGTAGCTATCCTAGCTGTGTTGAGTTAGTTGAGCCGCAGATCTATGAGGCATTCAGTGACTGTTGCCTCATACTCAATATCTGCAACTGTTGTCGGCTTTGGGGCCGATGCTCTCGCTCCCCTGAGGCAGAGCAAAGCTGACCAAAGGAGGGAGAAGGACAGTCGACATCTCATCCAGGCTGTAACATAACTTCTGGGCTGCTGCTTCTGTTCGGATATCAGCTCTGCGAGTCTGGCGTAGAAGCATCTTGCACTTGGTCCCATCCCACTAGAGGTTGTGAACGCTAGAGTAATGAAGCTGCCTTGATCAACGTTTTGAATTCTCTCCCCTATGCCCTTATCTTGTCGTTCTCGTTACTCCTATGTACAGCATCGAGAGCTAGGTTATGGTGACATGCGGCCATGGGATAAAAAATCCTGATGTCGAAGAAGGCTCACTGTCCCCCCGTCCAGAATCCTCGAGCACTGACGTCAACACGGGCTTCGTTGGATGTGTTTGAAGTCCTATGTTGGAAAATCTCACCGTCCAATGGAAGGAGGTTCGGTTCTACCCTGACATCACGGCAGATTTCCTTCAACATATTTGCTGTGAGATCCCTTACTTCGTCACGCTTCATGCATATGAAGACCCCTTTCTTGCACACCATGGTGTGATCGACGTCATAGGAAGAGCCACACACGCATTGGGAGGGCAAACCTTCTACTGGCTAACTGTACCTTAGAGCATTGGCATCTGTAAATTCTTCTTTATTGAGACTGAAACCATTTGCCCTTATTGGTAACGTAGTTAACCAGTTCGAGGCGCCCACCTCTTTCTGCAGGGGTTAAGTGAGGGTGTTTCACTAATTTGGGAATTAAATTGACACTGATAGCTTCTTCCAGAGGGTGGAGGAGGGGTCCGATATCAGAGATAGTGCGCATGAGGTACTTCCAAGGATGTTTGACTCCGTGGGTGAATGCCGCAAAAGCCGCATGTGGCTCTGTGTTAGCAATCTCAGACAGAGCTTGAATTTCCCTAACCCACTCATTCACCTTTCCCGTTACGTACTCGGTCTTGAAGTCCGTCGTGCCAATTACTGCGCCTCGGTGTCGTTGGCCATCCTTTGTTATTTTGACCTCACTTCCACCGAACACCTCCATTGCCCGTCCTAAAAGTTCTGGCTTCACAATGAGGAAGGACATGCTGGCGTTTGGGTGGTACCCTATTTGTGGGCTTCGTGATGTTACCAGGTCCCACCAATTTTTGATGTCCTCCACTTTTCCTGCTCCTGTAAGGCCATCACAGCGTACGCCACTTGCTTGATCTCAGTTGTTTCAATTTTTATTGTGTGTTGGAGCACGGATAGGGCTATTGCGTACATTACCACTGACATTATAACAACAACTTCTACTACCACCAGTCCTATTAGGATTATTTTACACGTATACACTCGCTACAGCTCTAGTTAAGAATATTTTAGAGTATTGAAGAGTTTACATTTTCCTTGACAATTTAATCAGTTAAATCGTCACTACAACATTATATTACAACACCATCATTACTACATCATCATCATTACGTAACAATTATCATCACAACATCATAACCACAACAAAATCATCACTGCAACATCACCCCGACATCATAGTTACAACACCACCATCATTACAATACCATCATCACTAAAACATCATAAATACAACACTATCATCACTTCAACATCATAGCTACAAGACCATCATCACTACGAGAGTTACATCATTACTACAACAGATACATAAAACTACAACATCATCACTACAACAGACACAAAATTACATCATCACTACAAGAGATACATAAAACTACAACATCATCACTACAACAGACACAAAATTACATCATCACTACAACAAATACAAAATTACAACATCATCACTACAAAAGATACATAAAACTGCAACATCATCACTACAACAGATACAAAATCACATCATCATCACTACAAGAGATACATAAAATTACAACATCATCACTACAACAGACACAAAATTACATCATCACTACAAGAGATACAAAATTACAACATCATCACTACAAGAGATAGATAAAACTACATCATCACTACAACAGATACAAAACTACAACATCATCACTACAACAGATACAAAATTACAACATCATCACTACAACATCATCACTACAACAGATACAAAACTACAACATTATCTCTACAACAGATAGACAAAACTACATTAACACTACAGCAGACAAATAAAACCACATCATAACTACACTACACTCGTAATCACTATTTTCTTGTGAACCTCTTGTCACTTTTCATCAGATGTGAAAATTCCAACCTGCTTTCATTACTTTTCCCCCCCAAAAAAAGTTTACCTCATTAAGTTCATCACAATGACTTTCAAAACAATATGGATGAGCAGAAGACTAGCCACCAGGAGGGATCGCACCTCGTCGAGTTCACTTACGCTAACTTCGACAAAACCTTCAAAACAACTCGGTTTTTGGGAGAGGGGGCTAGTGGTAAAGTATTTTTGGGAGAGTTCTCCAACGGACCAGTGTGCGCCAAAGTCGGAGTAAGCCATGGCATCAACAACGCCTTCAGCATAGAAAAAGAAAATAATTTGCAGGTAAACGGTGCTGGCGGATCCCCCGTCCTGCTGGGGTCATGTACAGATTACCCAGTACTGATCTTCTCACTCTGCCAGGGCCAGACATTGGATGAGGTTGTCGAAAATCTAATCGTTTTTTCTCCCACTAAATTATCACTCATATTTCTGCCCATCGCTGAAGGCCTAGCCGAGGTACACAGCCGGGGAATCATCCATAACGATATCAAAGTGGATAACGTTTTACTTGAGAAGAACTCCGATGAGTCTTACACCTCCCACTTTATCGACTTTGGATTATCAACAGCCGATGGTGGCCACCTGACCTCACACAGCAATCCGAAAGGAAGCCATTACGCCCCGGAGCTGTTTAAGGGTCTCCCCTGCACCCCGGCAAGTGACATCTACTCGCTCGGAGTTATGATCTCCGACGTCCAATATTGTTTTGATAACCCCTGGCCGCCAGGGGTTAAACGCCTGTGCAAGCAAATGCTCAACCGCAACCCTCAGCACCGTCCAATTCTTTCTAAAGTAATAAAAGTTTTGAGAAAATCCCTTAAGGGGCACTCCCGTGAGGTGCTCTCTTCCACCAAAGCCCACCCCACCTACCAAGCTACGCGAGTCTATTGATACACTTGAAACAACATTTTCGATAATAAATCCTTAGAAAGCTCATGCTCTCAATTGGCTCACCTTGTCAATATAGTCCATTCTGTATCTGTATTTGCATGATTAAATAAACTGTTTCAATATAAATATTATCAACGTCAATATCCTACTCCTCGACTCCCCTCTCCTCCTCCACGCACCGACAGCCTTTGCAAGAGGAAAACACAGTAGTTGTAGGAATAGTAATAGTTTAATTTGTTTTTTGCATTGTACATATAAAATAAATAATAAATGAATTTAACCTGCGACTCAGAAATTGACTCTTTTTATCCTTTACACTTGTGAGTAACTCATAAGTTTAAGAGCGACGTAAACAGTCTAAAAATATGTGGTTTAGAGTTACGAACCTCAACAATGATGTTCTACTACAGTTAACAGAGATCACCTGAAGATTTGTACCTGATCATTAAAGACCAGCCCAAGCTGTGGAATCAAGAACAGTGCAGTACTGGGCTTCAATACAGCCCAAGAAAAGACTATCAGAACAATGGAGGGATCCCACACAGGCCACTGACCTCCTTCCCTCACCATGGACACTTCTAATAGCTGGCGATTAGGTAAATAAGGTAAAACATAACGTAACATAATCCAGTCTAATATAGCTTAATCTAATCTAATATAACCAAACCCAAACTATTTTGTAGTAGCCTAAAGTAACGTAAAGTAAGAGCCTAAAGTAAGGTAAAGTAAGAGCCTAACCTAACTCCACCAAGTATCGTCAGGGTGTTTTGTCATCATGTTAAATACGCTGGGGGTTAATGTTGTGTGCTGGAGGCCGCTCTACACACATGTGCTGGAGGCCGCTCTACACACGTGTGCTGGAGGCCACACTGCATGTGTTGTGTAATGGAGCCCACACTACACATGTTGTGTTCCGTAGGCCACACTACGTATATTGTGTTCTGGAGGCCATATATAGATACCACCATTATTATTATTACCTCCTCAACTGTACCACCTTACCTCAGGTTGAAAGGCCACATTTTTACCGCCATAAAGGATCTCTAAGTGATGTTGTGCCCGGGTGATAATATTACCATTACTTCTACAAAATATTTAATAATAAATTATCTCGCTTACTTTCCCAGATTACTTAAGAAACTCTTATCATAATACACCTATCAACAATAACTACTGAGCTGGGTCAATTACCACCCCCCCCCCCCTCTCCCCGTGGCCAATACTCATAGTCTGGCCTATTACTAGAGGCAGTTGTACAAGGTAGTTACTCTGTAGTGCATTGCTTTATTTACATCTTAGAGCAAATTTGTGGACTGGGTTGTCATCTTGGCCTTGACTGATCTGAAGAAAGTATTTGATTTTGAAGACCACAGAGTGACCCTCCGTGAAGTGTATATATTACTGCCCTCACACACCTTCCTCTCAGGTCGCCATCGTCGGGTCAGCTACCAAAATGTTTTATTGCGGCGACCTCATTACGTGTGGAGTCCCGTAAGACGCTCAACTAGACCCAGGTTTTTCTTTCGATTATGATCAACAGATTTTCCAGGAGTATAATATATTAGCTAAATATGTTGATGTTCTTATTACTCAGTGTTGCCAGAGTTGTTCTAGGCAGTAACACAAACTTACAGTGGATCTCTCTCTAACTTTACGTGGCGGCCAAACACGTTACAATGACATCACCTGTACACTAAAAATTACCTCTTGGTTGAACCAATTATAATCTATGCATTAGTTGTCTACTTCTTGCTGACACTGAACGCGACCCACAAGAGATCCTGAACACCTACGCAGATGCATATGCACACTTCAGCCTTGAGGTGCTTGTACGTAAGACTCAGATTCTCTTTCCGCCTTCCCCTGGTTCAGCCACACCTCCACCATCCATCCAGCCTTTTTTTTTTTTACGGGGAATCGCCCGCCCGGGCACAGGTCATCGACCCACACCGGGGTCCAGTTGGCGAAACAATAGGACTAAAATTAATTAAAAATAGAAAAGAAAGAGATGCGGAAAACCAGCTTTTTAAAGTAAGACATTGTATGAGTATGGAAACACAGAAGAAGGCAGAGCATTGCACAGTCTGGCTGTGTGAGGAAAGAAGGAGGTACTATAACGGGTTATTCTAGGGCGACCGACATCCACAGAGAAACAGTGGGCACCGCGGGAAAGACGTGTGTTAGGAGCCCACGGCCTTGCCGGCGGTACACAGGATGCCACATCCACCGAACATTGCCCGTTAAAGTACCTGTAACAGAGAGAGAGAATGATGACCCACTTTAATGTTACCCAATTTCAGTATCTCAGCTCCCACCTCTCCACCACCGCGGACATCGATGAAACAGATTCAACATTGGGGCAGGTGTGCATCTCAAGCCTTTGGCAGATTCCGTACCCGTGTCTTCAGCTATAGGAAGCTATAATTATCTACAAAGTTGCACGTATATATAGCAGTGGTCCTTTCCACCCTGCTATATGGCAGCGAGGTATGGGTCACATACAGGAGGCACCTCAAGGCATTTAAAAACTTTCACCAACGTAGTCTACGTTCCATCCTCCGAGTTCGATGGGAAGACAAGAGAACAAATGCCAGTATTCTCGCTGAGTGACCTGGGGGCGTGGGAGGAAATACGAGCGAGCGAGCGAGTGAGTGAGTGAGTGAGTGAGTGAGTTAGGTAGTATGTAAATAAGTTAGCTAATCAGTCGACGAGAGATATGAGGAATAAGAGGGAGTTGAGAACCATATGCCAGCCAGCATGACACCTAAATTGCACTGAGACTCTACCGTCATTAAGGGATTATAGGTTTACCATAAGAATCTTTGAGGATTAGGACCGTGACTCCCAAGTAAGGCACCCGCCACCCCTCACCCCTCACCCGTCACCCCTCACCCGTCACCCCTCACCCCTCACCCGTAAGAATAATTGTCTCGGGGCTGGCATGTTAAGGGGCGGTGGGCGGGGTAGGTGATGGCGTGTCTCCTTCAGGACGCCCACACTAATTTCGGTCAGACTTGTGTGTGAGGATCATTAGTTCCTCAGAAGACAGTGCTCACTCGCCTTCACCCTTACTTGTGTGGATATAGTGTCAAGTGGAGAGAAGTGGAACATCTTATTTACTTATGGTGACGCAAATTACCTGAAGATTATATACCCAATCTTATTTCACCTAAAGATTAGGTATCCCAGCTTATTTTACCTGAACATTAACCACTCTAATGTTACCAGGAGGTTAGGTTATAGGTTAGGTTAGTGGCATGGTGGTTGACCTTCAGGTTATCCAAGTTCATGTTTAATAAAGAAAAAAAATACATTTTTTTGTAATGTTACGGTGATACCCTGGGCTATGAACCGGCCTAACAGGGCTAAGACCTACGCGACCCCAACCTGGCCTAACCTGACCATTAGGATTGGTTCCTATTAGGTCTGGGGGCCGATTGACCAGTCACCAATGTTTTATATGTCTATTATGTGTCACAGGCATGGTGGGGGGCAGAGTCTGGGGTATAGGCATGGAGGTAGGAGGGCCAGGGGAGGGCAGAGTCTGGGGTAGAGGCATGGGGGTAGGAGGGCCAGGGGAGGGCAGAGTCTGGGGTAGAGGCATAGGGCAGAGTCTGGGGTGTAGGAGGGCCAGGGGGCAGAGTCTGGGGTAGAGGCATGGAGGGGTGGAGGGGCCAGGGAGGGCAGAGTCTGGGGTAGAGGCATGGGGGGAGGCCAGGGGGCAGAGTCTGGGGTATAGGCATGGAGGGAGGAGGGCCAGGGGAGGGCAGAGTCTGTAGAGGCATGGGGGTAGGAGGGCCAGGGGGGCAGAGTCTGGGGTGAGGCATGGGGGTAGGAGGGCCAGGGGGGGCAGTCTGGGGTAGAGGCATGGAGGTAGGAGGGCCAGGGAGGGCAGAGTCTGGGGTAGAGGCATGGGGTAGGAGGGGGGCAGAGTCTGGGGTAGAGGCATGGGGTAGGAGGGCCAGAGGCATGTGGAGGTAGGAGGGCCAGGGGAGGGCAGAGTCTGGGGGTAGAGGCATGGGGTGGGAGGGCCAGGGGGGCAGAGTCTGGGGGTAGAGGCATGGGGTAGGAGGGCCAGGGGGGCAGAGTCTGGGGTAGGCATGGAGGTAGGAGGGCCAGGAGGGCAGAGTCTGGGGTAGAGGCATGGGGTGGGAGGGCCAGGGGGGCAGAGTCTGGGGTAGAGGCATGGGGGTAGGAGGGCCAGGGGGGGCAGAGTCTGGGGGTATAGGCATGGAGGTAGGAGGGCCAGGGGGAAGCAGAGTCTGGGGTAGAGGCAGGCCGGGGGGCAGAGTCTGGGGTAGAGGCATGGGGTAGGAGGGCCAGGGGGGCAGAGTCTGGGGTAGAGGCATGGGGGGAGGAGGGGAGGGGCAGAGTCTGGGGTAGAGGCATGGGGGAGGGGGGGGCAGAGTCTGGGGTAGAGGCATGGAGGTAGGAGGGGCCAGGGGGCAGAGTGTCATGGGGTGCAGAGTCTGGGGTGAGGCATAGGAGGGCCGGGGGCAGAGTCTGGGCTAGAGGCATGGGGGTAGGAGGGCCAGGGGGCAGAGTCTGGGGCAGAGGCATGGGGGTAGGAGGGCCAGGGGGGCAGAGTCTGGGGTAGAGGCATGGGGTGGGAGGCCAGGGGGCAGAGTCTGGGTAGGAGGCATGGGGTGGGAGGGCCAGGGGGGGAGAGTGGCATGAGGGCCAGGAGGGTCCATGGGGGTAGGCCAGGCAGAGTCTGGGGTAGAGGCATGGGAGGGCAGAGTCTGGGGTAGAGGCATGGGGTAGGAGGGCCAGTCTGGGTAGAGGGGGGGAGGGCCAGGCAGAGTCTGGGGTGGGAGTCCGGTGGGAGGGCCAGGGGGGAGTCTCATGGAGGTGAGGGCCTGGGGGGCAGAGTCTGGGAGTAGAGGCATGGAGGTGGGCAGAGTCTGGGGAGAGGCATGGGGGGGGGGCAGGAGTCATGGGGTGGGGCAGAGTCATGGGGTAGGAGGGCCAGGGGGCAGAGTCTGGGGTAGAGGCATGGG